AAGTCTCATTATGGATATTTTCCAGTTTACACTGTAATTCCCTCACGTTACAAACCACATGATGGACAAACAGCACAGGTTTGCTGTAAACACACTCACTGAACCTGTCGCACCCACTACACACTGGGCCCTGGAGGTGCGACAGCGCAGAGCTTTGCATGCTTTGCAGTTAAAAAATCTAAAACCACAACTGAAACAGCCAAGTTCCTCTCACACACACAAACACACACACAGAGACACATTCACAGAGACACACACACACAGCAGGGGCTTTGAGGAAAAAAGCCAAACTGTTGATCTGGTTAACACGCTGTTGTAGGTCTCAACAAAGCCCCTCTTTTTTTTTTTTTTTTAGCCTGGTTTGATTTGTCGGAAATGTGTGCCATTCTATCTGTGAGTCTGCGCACGGATGAACAGGGGGCATTTGAGTTTGTGGTGGGATCAAATGTCCGTCTCAACTACTTTCCTGTAATTTGATTAGAACACCATGTCTCATTAGGCAGACGGGAGTCTCTGTGACGCTCAGGAAGTCGACTGAAGCAGTCTGAGAAACACCGCAGCACCTACACAACACCTGCCATTCATGTCATCTTTAAACATTTCTTCATCTCTAAAGGTAACACAACAAAAAGGCAACACAACAGCTTCTTGTTGTCTGACGCTGCATGAATGCTTTATGCAGTAAAACCTGTTATTTTGTGAAAACTGATTTAACTTTCACATCATTTCTTTTTGTCTTTGTTTTGTAACGTTGTTTTTTGAGCGCAACTATTTTAGTTTATCTTAGCTTCTTCGCCACACCTGCTTCATTCTTAACGTGTAGCTACTGTTTTCCTAATTTTAGCTTTTAATTACKSTTTTGTTAATTTTAGCTATTTTGTTAATTTGAGCTCACAACTGTTTTGCTTAGAAGTTAGCTATTGATTYGATCATTTTAGCTTTCGGTTCACTAATTTTAGCTTTCAGCTACTATTCTGCTCATTTTGCCTGTTTTACCTAGCTACCATTTTGATAAATTTAGCTTTTAGCACTTGTTTTGTTGATCTTAGAACATGACTGGTTTGGTCATGTTAGCATACAGCTACTGGTTGGTTAATTTTACCTTTTAGCTAATATGCTGCTCATTTTGTCTGTTTTACCTAGCTACCATTTTGCTAAATGTAGCTTTTAGCACTTGTTTTGTTGATCTTAGAAGTTAGCTACTGGTTTGGTCATGTTAGCATACAGCTACTGGTTGGTTAATTTTATCTTTTAGCTAATATGCTGCTCATTTTGTCTGTTTTACCTAGCTACCATTTTGCTACATTCAGCTTATAGATATCATTCTGTTAATTATAGTTATTAGCAACTGTTTTGCTGTTCTTGTAAGTTAGCTACTGGTTTTATCATTTTAGCTTTTGTATTGCTAATGTTATCTTATAGCTACCTTGTTGCTAACTAAACTCTTTGTTTGCTGTGTTCAGGTTTTAACTTTTGTTTGCTGGTTTTGGTTTTTTTATTTTGATTG